TCTGCCTTAACAAACCTGTACGGCAAAACAGTGGAAAAACATTATTCACTCTTTTGCTTATTTACTCAAACGCTGACAAAGTTGTTTCTCTGTAAACAGTTGTGTCTGAATGCATTCTGCTGCTTTAAGCCAGAAATGAAGGCAGAATCGGAGTTGCAAGTCTTTTTAGGCTGATTGCATGATGACAGATCGTCGCCTTAGAGTAAAATTCTTTTATCTTTCTTCTAATTTCCTCAACGGTGGTCCATTCCTTATATTTCTGGTTCGTTTCAGTGATGCGTTTATTATGATGTATCTGGTTTATGGAACTACTGTAATTTCCTTATCAAGAAGCACTATGCGCCGAAAGCTAATTAAGTAACATAGAATCCAAGAGCTCGAAAGAATTCGTGCAAAAAACAAGATTGGATGTAGCTCAGAGATACCGAGACTCTTAGATGAGAGACACCATACACTGCCTGCCTTTTAGGCTACTCGGTTAGCTGCATCGATTATAAATCGTTACTCTGAGAAGCAGAAGCCTATTAGACTCCCGGTCCCAGCCATTTGGAAACCAGCAATGTTGTGGACAGGAAAACAAGTTCGTTCTAAGATGATTTCTTTTGCATTGTTTAGAATTATCCATTTCAAATCGATATAATATATAAGAACGGGTCTAATATTCATGTTCAGCTTATGGAACTTATTCTATATGATGACTACACAAATCCAATGAAACTCAATTTAACAATACCCAACAAGAGCTACACGGGTAATCGGGAATTTTGTATTAAGGTGATAGGCGTTTCTCTTTCCATGAACATACGAAAATCCCATTGCCAAAATACAATATTCAAAGGACTCCTTTGTCATATTCCGAAATGGGCAGCTCATATCTGGAGTTCTGGACAAGTCCTTGTTAGGTTCTAGTTCAAAGACAAGTATTTTCTTCATTCTCTTACGAGACTTTGGTGAAGGTGCAGCAGTGGACGCAATGTGAGTTCAAAATATCCCTTCTTTCTGAGGTGATATCTTTGTATTGTAACATGAACATTTTTCATGGTGAGAACAAGCAAGGTACTGTGAGTATACTACCACAAAAATTTTTCGTCCGATTCTTTCCACATCGGCAGCCTATCTCGTGTGTTGTTTTTTTACTGTTTTTCTTTTGAATTAATCTTTTTCGTTGGGCTTTTAATGTGCACTTCTTGCAAATGTGTTTCTAAATTAAGGAGCGTCATGTGGTGGCTAGAGATGGTGATGACCCACTTTGATTTTAGCGGTTCATTCAGAAGTGGGTTGTCCATTGATAGAGGTGATCGGAAAGGTAGTCGCAAGAGTACGTATTATTGTGTAAGAAGATGGATCGTCCTGCTAACGCTAGCCCTCCTTTTCGTGTTAAGTTGGACAGCCGCCCACGTCGCTCCCAGATCTGAACACTCCCGTACAAGAGAACAGGAGTCATAAGTTTTATAAATATGAAGACATATTTAATTTTACAAACATGAAGATGACTTCCTAGATACATTTCGGTTAAGAAGAACGAGAAGATTATTTCTATAAAAATCCCAATTCAATGTTCAATTTGTATCTATAGAAAAGAATCTATTACATACGTACATACATACATTCATACATTCTTACTACATAAATGCATAAATAAACAAATACATACATACATACATACATACATACATACATACATACATA